ATCCCGAAGGATCTGTATAAGGGGTCTGGAAATTCATGCATTTCCAGGTCCATGATATTCGGGAAACTGGGGAAAAGCTGTGCTTTCTATGTCATCAGTTGGGAGTCTTAGAGCATGAGAGAAGGGACAAAGCTACATCCTTACCCGGCTGAATTTCACATGCGTGGCTTTTCCTACTGAATTTTAAAAAGACCAGTTTTAAATTAATGCTTTGTGACACCATCTGCTTTAATTATGTATTATAACATAGTTCGGCAAACTTTTGATAACAGGCGAGCTAGTGAAATTGCTGAATTTTAAAGGCAGCAAATTGCCCCTTACCATTTTTTGTCCTCATTCTCTAGGTACTCTTATTGGTGATATTTACAGAGTAATGATAACAGTATTATCCATCTGTGAAGTCTTGCTTTAGTTTCGTGCTTGACATCATGACATGCTACAGTAGAAATGCTTGTGGAGAGAAGTTTTGAAAAAAATAAAAATAAAACCAGCATCTAAAGCAGAGCATTTTCTTTTATGGGAGAGGTAGTTTTGTTTGGGAAATTTGGAAAGCTGAGGTGGCTGGGTGAGTTAGGTGAGTGAACAGAAATCAGAAGTGCTCAACTCTTTCTGGGTCTCCCACTCTCTTAGCTGACCTTGGCAGATTTATTTCATTTCCCTCCTCTGTAAAAGAAGGGAAGGCAATAGTTCTGAAGAGCACAATGACAAAAACCAGTTTCATGCAGTCCACTTCTACAACTGTGTATTGTGAAGTCCATAAGGCTTGGTCTTTATGGTGCCCCCTTACATCGAGATAACTGGAAAGGGATGCCGTTAAACTGAGGTTATGTTTAGGGGAGTATTAGATAAGATAACAAATCCCAAGGATCTTTAATAATTCCTGGACAAAAGAAACAGCTTCCTTATGGAAAAGGATAATTTAACAGACTATGAAATTTAAAGTCAGGCTTTCCTTAATAGAAATAGCATTGGCGAACACATGCACACATACACACACACACACCACACCACACCACACACCCAGACCCACACCCACACTGCTTACAGTAAAGCCTGCCGGTGGTTTCCCTTACCTGTGTGAATGTCTTCATGTTTCATTTGCATGGAAATTAAAGGTTCATAATGGTCCAAGGGTCTCTGGTATACTATCCTATGGGAAGCAGGCAAGTCTGAAGTCTGATTTTACCTAGTTAGTATGCCATTTCATTTTATTCTTAAGTAACAAAAACTTCCCCTCAACCCTCAGGATAAAGTTTTATGAGAATCATACTCATCAAGTAGTATTTTTAGTATTCACTACTAAGTTCAGGTTGACTGAACTTCTGTTCAAAGCCATGGTCATTATGCCAATTCTAAAAAGGCAACCCCAGTTTCCTGGACTACACAGGAAATAAATTTCTAACCTGACCTATTTGTTTACAGAAAAGACTAATTAAAATAATAGCCAAGGAGAACTAGGCGTAAAATATTTCCATAATCCTATTTAAAAAGCATCTGATCTTAGGGGAAAAAAAGGTTTGCAGTGGAAATTAGGCAGATGCTAGCCATTCTCCATGTGCCTATGTTTGCTGCCAACCTTTGCTCTATATCCTTTGTTGAGAGGTGGGTGAGGTTGTTAGATGAGAATGCCTTAAAGCCAGTTTAGATTTCAGCAAAGCCTTTGGCAAATTCTTCATGATAGTCTTGTCAATGACATGGTAAAGTACAGGCGGCTTTATGATATTAAGAGAATTCAGGGCTTGGTGAACCCAGGACATAGAAAGTTGTGATCAGCTGTCTGATGTTAGCTGATAAGGTGCTTTCTTATAGAGCGATTTAAGAGAGGAACTATGGTTGGTGCCTACTGTCTCTGGAATGGAGTCTACTCAGATCTTGATTTAAGTCAGTGGGGACAAGTGTCCCTCAGGGTAATGGTAGATATTCCATGAAAAAAAGGTGCAGTGAGCAGATAATTTTAGGGAGTGCTGGATTAAAAAGTAAATGGTTCTGCACTATAAATTCCCAGGGGCTCTATCATGCAGATTTTTCACTGAGACCTAAAAAAATAAAGCAGAGTGTTCACCTATCCCCAAAGACAGTTGGAAGGTGGAGTTTTGGAGAGGGGCTTGGGTGAAGATTCCCCTTCAGACTCAAGGCAGAGAGTCCCATTGCCTGTGACCAAGAGGTGGGGAGCTGTAGGTACAGGAATGGGGGGACCCTCATGGGGCCTTTTGGTGAGGGTGCAGAAGTGAGGGCAGTCTCCAAGCCTTTGGGTCTATGATGACACAGAGCTAGGAGAGGTATGTGAGTTTGGTAATGGGGTTAGGGGAAAACATACAAGCTGTTCTTTTCTGAGTGCAAAGAGACATATTTCTTGTGGTACATAATGAAATTCAACCTGAAACACCTATATCGTAGCTATATATTCATCTGTCTTTGGTGTGGAGAGGACAGAATATTCTTTGTAGAAGTAGAGGTAGCACATAATATTTATGGTATTTTATGATCCATAGCTATGACTAAATAAATAGAAAAGTCCAGTATTAGCAGTGAGTGATTTGGGTTCCAACTCTGTTGTTATGTTCTTTTTTCCTCTTTTATTTGGCTTTTATCCCTTTCTATTTCTTTTTGGCTGGAATTACCAGATAACTACCTCAATTTTTGTAATTTGATTTATTTTCTACTGCTTAGTGATTGATTTTTTGATTAAGAATTCATAGATTAATGTTCTTTAAGTGAAAGCATGCTACATAATTGGTAGATTTTAAAGTTCACAAATTGAGTATTGATTATAGTATAATAGTTTAACATTTTTTATTTGCATTTTACTATCCATCTGGGACACGGTGGTGAAGTTGATAGTTTCTGACTACTCAGAACTTAAAATCTACTTTAGAAAAATAGGAGAAAATTATAATATTCAGACAGTCCATGTATTACATTTCATTATAGAGGCTGGTGATATGTAATAACAATTTATTTAGTAGAGCCATTGTATTATTTGTCATTGTTAATTAATACAACTTCTGCAGCCAAGGACTTCCTAGTCTCGTTTTTTAATGGGACGAAGACAGGGAAGAGGGATTAGTGGCAAAGAAGAGGGAGTATGCAGGGCCTGCAGTAGGGCTTATGCACAGAACTACAGAAATGGCAGGATCTTATAGGCTTGAAAAATGCATACGGTCATTTTTTTAATACTAAGAAGATTCTCAGGTAGAAGTTTACTTAGAATGGTTCATTTTCTGTCAAACATTTCCTTACATTGGTCTATTTCTCTAGAGCTGTTGTCCAGGGACAGCAGCTAAAGACCTTTGGTAGTCTGGAGACATTTTATTGGTTGTCAATATTCTGTTATGTTAGCCCCAAGAAGGTAAGTTTTAATGTAACTAGAAATACTGTTTATGTTAACTAGAATGAATATATATATATTCAATAAGTGCAATTTTACTTGCTAAGGACCTTGGTAGTCTGGAGACATTTTATTGCTTGTCCCAGCTGGGAAGGGTGCTGCTTACTAAGGAAAGGTTTCCTTTCCTTAGTAAGTAGGAAACAGAGATACTGCCTGACATATTAGAATGTATAGGCTAAACCTCCACAATAAAGGATCATCTGCCTCCAAATGTCCATAGGACCCAGGTTGAGAAACACTGGTAATAGAAAGATCTGAAATCAAATTCCAGCTCTCCTACTTAGCTGTGTGACCAATGCTTCAATGTCTGACTTGTACTATCTGGGCAGTTCTTTGTATATAGGCTTGTTTGTCAGGATAAATAACATATCTAAAAGGCTCACAATAGTGCACTGAATAATATAGTATACATAGGAATTATGTATGTGTGTGTATATATATATATCCTACTATAATCTGTTCATGAACTAAATTTATCTGTTAAAAGCATATAGTTATGACTGTATATCTAAGAAAATCCCATGGACCCTTTAGGATGGGTACTAGGCCTGTTTAGGCCCAGGACATAGCATGCCCTTGGGAAATATTACTAAATGAATGAATGCTTGAATATTCAGAGCTTTTCACAAGTTTCCTTCATTCACTGTTGAAAATAAAATGTCTGGCTTTTAGGAGTCTTTTCAGCAGAGGTGTCACCAAGCCAGGGTGCATATCAAAGTCATTTCCTATATAAAGTACAGGAAAAGAGTCTTGATGTTGTTGACCTGTTTTGCAACTTCTGTGATTTTTGCATAAGTCAGTCAGGATATATAAACTTTGACTTTTCAGAATTGATACTAAAGTATCTTCTCTGTTAATCTACTTCAACAAAGTCTTATGACTTTAAAAACAATTCATAAATTATTTTCCTTTGATAACTCTTTGGGCAAATGTATATTTGGAAATGGTAACTTTCATCGAGTTTCCAGATTGTTTGTAACAAGCCATATATGTGTTCAAATGTAAGACAGCCTCAAGTTTAATATGATCAAAGTCTCCCCAACCTTCAAAGTCAGAAGGGTAGTTTGTTTGGTTTTGCATTAGTTTAGGAAGGAGTTTATAAGGAGAAAGCAAGCAACCAGAGCTCCTGATGGCAGAAGTGGGTCCCAAGAAAGGGCTGCCCAGAAGGCTAATGTTAAATCTGATTTTGTAACCATGAATTTGGGCAAGTCCATCATTGTATTAAGTCCTCATTTTCTCTTTCATCTGCTTTATCAATCCTTATCATTATTTGAATATTATTTAATAGTCAAGTAAGTTAACATTTATAAATATTCTTTACAAATCCTGAAGGCTTTTTATAGTGTGTTTGTTACTTTTATTGAAATGCAAATTTTTATTTGTTTCTTATTTTGACTTCTGGACAAGTTACAGTCAATATTCTGTTATGTTAGCCCCAAGAAGGTCAGTTTTAATGTAACTAGAAATATTAAGTATAATGAATATGTTTGTGTATATATACATGTATATAAATATAATATATATATATATATTCAGTAAGTGCAATTTTAGGATTTCTTAGCACAGTACTGCTGTTATTGACTAAGGTTTATAATATGAATCTCTTTGTTAGCTATGGAGACCAAAGGTTACCACAGTCTCCCTGAAGGTCTGGATATGGAAAGACGGTGGAGTCAAGTTTCTCAGAATGTGGAGCGTTCTTCACTTGGGCCTGTAGAGAGGACCGATGAGAACAACTTTATGGAGATTGTCAACATCAGCTGTGTTTCCGGTGCTATTCCAAACAACAGTACTCAAGGAAGCAGCAAAGAAAAACATGAACTACTCCCTTGCCTTCAGCAGGACAATAATCGGTCTGGGATTTTACCATCTGATATTAAAACTGAGCTGGAATCAAAGGAGCTTTCAGCCACCGTCGCTGAGTCCATGGGTTTGTACATGGATTCTGTCAGAGATGCTGAGTATACCTTCGATCAGCAGAACCAACAAGGAAGCATGAGCCCAGCAAAGGTTTATCAAAACATGGAGCAGCTGGTCAAGTTTTACAAAGAGAATGGCCACCGGCCCTCCACGATAAGTGGTGTGAACAGGCCCTTGAGGTCATTCATGTCTGATTCCGGGAGCTCCATGAATGGCGGCGTCATGCGTGCCATTGTTAAGAGCCCAATCACCTGTCATGAGAAGAGCCCCTCTGTTTGCAGCCCTCTGAACATGACGTCTTCAGTGTGCAGCCCTGCGGGCATCAACTCCGTGTCCTCCTCTACAGCCAGTTTTGGCAGTTTCCCAGTGCATAGCCCCATCACTCAAGGAACCCCTCTGACGTGCTCCCCCAATGTTGAAAACCGAGGCTCCAGGTCGCACAGCCCAACACATGCTAGCAATGTGGGCTCCCCTCTTTCAAGTCCATTAAGCAGCATGAAATCCCCAATTTCCAGTCCTCCAAGTCACTGCAGTGTAAAATCTCCAGTCTCCAGTCCAAATAATGTCACTCTGCGCTCCTCTGTGTCCAGCCCGGCAAATCTCAACAACTCAAGGTGCTCTGTTTCCAGCCCTTCCAATACTAACAACAGATCCACTCTCTCTAGCCCAACAACTAGCACTGTGGGGTCCACCTGCAGCCTCATCAGCAATGCCTTCAGCTACGCTGCCTCTGGCACCTCTGCTGGAGCCGGTGCCACCAGGGATGTGGTTCCCAGTCCAGACACCCATGAGAAAGGTGCTCATGAGGTCCCTTTTCCTAAGACTGAGGAAGTAGATAATGCCATCTCCAATGGTGTGAATGGCCAACTCAACATTGTCCAGTACATAAAAGCAGAACCAGATGGAGCTTTCAGCAGCTCCTGTCTAGGAGGAAACAGCAAAATCAATTCCAGTTCTCCATTCTCAGTACCAATAAAGCAAGAATCAACCAAGCACTCGTGTTCAGGAGCCTCTTTTAAAGGGAATCCGACTATAAACCCATTTCCATTTATGGATGGCTCATATTTTTCCTTTATGGATGATAAAGACTATTATTCCCTGTCAGGAATTTTAGGACCACCTGTGCCGGGCTTTGATGGTAACTGTGAAGGCAGCGCATTCCCAATGGGAATTAAGCAAGAGCCAGATGATGGGAGCTATTACTCCGAGGCCAGTATCCCCTCATCTGCCATTGTTGGCGTGAATTCTGGTGGACAGTCCTTTCACTATAGGATTGGTGCTCAAGGTACAATATCTTTATCACGATCACCTAGAGACCAGTCTTTCCAACACCTGAGTTCCTTTCCTCCTGTCAATACATTAGTGGAGTCATGGAAATCACATGGTGACCTGTCATCCAGAAGAAGTGATGGATACCCTGTCCTAGAATACATTCCAGAAAACGTATCAAGGTAAGTTGATTTTTAAAAATCCGTCTTCCTGTCTCTCCTCTCCCCTCTTCTTTTTCACATTCTTTTCTTTTTCTTTTAATCATGGCTTTATAAATTGTTGAGTCCTAGCTTTATTTTTGCATTTGAGAAACTGGAACACATTTCAAGTGATTGTTGTTTTATTTTTGTTTTAAGAATGGTCATTGTATGCTCCTCTCTTGATTGTTGGTTAAACACTATTAGTTTCTTGAAGTAGAGAAACAAAAACTTCTTAAGATCTCTTAGGAAACGTCTGTGTTGATTTTGAAGAAACATATACAGGCATCCCTCTGTTGCCTGTTTTAGGTGTTTGGAAAATGATTATTATTATTATTATTATTTTGCCAGTGACTATATTTGCTTTAGCAAACTACTGCTATATTGTTTTCCCTTTCTTTGCTGGTTCATGGAGACTGCATTAAATTAGCTTCTTCATAGTCTTAGTCTTCTGTTAAAATTCTTTATTAATTACTTCATTGGTTGTGAGAAATAACACAGCAGCCCAAATCTGTTACCTAGAAGCCTCTTTCTCTCCCACTGTTTTCTAGGTAGGCTCGTTTTTTTATAAGCTAATTATGAGAAAATTGTGGCTCCTAATCAGATAAATCATTTTCTTCACTGTGAAGGCCTTTAAAGATTTAGCACATCTAAAATTATTTAGTGGACAATCTTACTTTCTTATATTAGAAGTGAAACAAATTCAAAACACTGTACCTCTGAATTGGTTTATTTATAACTTTTCAGATTTTCAAAAAGATATACTTTATTTACTGTAAATTATGTCTTGGCTTTCCTTGTTGCAGATTGCATGCGGTATATATTTAGAAAAACAAGGAAGAGGTTTCAGATATGAGTGTAAAGGGTGGTTCTAACTTATGCAATGAGTACTTGTACTGGACTTTGCTTCAATTCTCTTTTTATTACATGGATGTGATAAGTGAGCCTTTGTGGAATATATAAAATATAAAACATTCCTAGCTACGTACGGTTCATTCCTTTGGCATCTAGGAATATATTGATATTTCCCTTCATTTCCTTCATTTTGTGGAAAATATATCCATCCCATTAATAGAATATAGGGTTTATCTGTAATCCCATATCTTTTACTGATATTTGTTCCCAAACTCAAAGCAAAAGCTTTTGCTTTGTGAATTCTTTTCCTTATCAGTGGCTCAAACCTTTTTCTTCTTGCTTTTATGGATGCAAACTTTCCATAAAGAATACATTCTTCACCGTACTCCATAGCCTGAAATATTTTATCATATTTCAGTGCTGTCTCTTATGTTCCAGACTCTAACACGGTCCATAAGATGGCAAGGCTGCCATCAAAACCAAACTCGGCATATGCTTTAATGTTAGTGCTTTTACCTTCGGTGAAGGGAATATTTGTACATGATGTGGGTATTTCCGTACGTGATGCTTTCATTCAGTCAGTCTGGGTGGTGTCTCTGGGTGGTTAGGCAACACTGGCCTGCTTGAAGTGCCAGCTCTGCTACTCAGGTACTCATGTCCTTGTGCACAGCTCTTCACCTCTCTGTGCTTTAATTTCTCACCTGCCAAAAGAGAATTAAACAGAACTATCTCTTATAGAGTGAAAACAACTCTGATAATTTGTGAGAACTGACTTTCATCCAGTATGTTAGCATGGATTATACACATTTTAGTTATTTTGAATAATTTTGTCATCTTTTCATATCTTTTGGGTTTCATAAAATAAAGAAAAAAATCCACAGTATTTTAAAGGAGTACTTGAAAATTTTAAGTATTTTCACAAGAAATACTTGATAATTTCTTGTGATTAAATTCTCAGTTTTAAATGATTGGATATATTTTCTATTATAATTATACTTTTTTAGTATTGAAGACCATAACTTAGAGAAGTTATTTTACTAGAAACACTAGAGCTCCAGCAGCTAAAATCATCCTTTTGTTTGTTTTGTACCCTGTTTCTATTATTTTAATAGTAGTCCTTATACTCAACTCAGAATTCCCTCATATATAGCATAATTTATATATGATATATGTAGTTATATAATAATGACATACCTATGTCTTTAACCATGGTCATGTGTAGCAGTGGCCACCCTGTATTTGTGGGCATTGATGCGTTGTCTCCTCATGAGTATTCAAAATTTTGTACATGTGTGTTAATATAGTAAAAGAGAATTCATTCTGCTTGTGTGTATACTGGTTTTGTGCCAATTAAGATTAAGTTTTTGGCCAGCTGTGGTAGCGCATGCCTTAAAACCCAGCTCAGGGAGTAGAGGTAAGTGGAGCTCTACGAGATCAAGGCCAAGGCCAGCCAGGTTTACATAATGAGTTTCATGCCATATGAGGCTACAGGGAGACCCTGTCTCAAAAGTAAAAAGAAAAAAACTAAAAGAGATTAATGTTTACATACTCTCGTGTGAAAATTTTAGTGTTGACATCTTATAGATTAATAGTTCTTTACAGCATTTTCTGGTGAATACCATCTAAGCCTATTTATTTTGCTCATTTCAAGACTATAGGCTCAAACTGGAGAAATAGTTAAGCTCTTAAAAGCCTCAAACTCATAATCTGAATGTCAAGAACAGGACAGGCTCAGTGATCAGAGGAAACTTAGGTCCTTTTCAAGATTTTAGTGAATGTATTATAATTAATGATCTGATTTCATCTATGCTTCATTATTAATCTCTTACCTTGGCCTCTTTTAGACAAAATCTTATTTTCCCCATTTTTTTCATTAATAATGATGAGATTCCATTTCAAAGAATGTTGACTAAATTAATGATTGTTAAGGATCAAGGCCTAGGTTTTAATAGTATCTGCTCTCTTTGGGTAAAACCCTATTGTTAAGATTTTAAAGTATGATTTGGGAATTTCTGAGACCTTTTCAAGGAGGTTCATGAAATCAGAAATCATCTGTGTAAAAGATCTTCTCAAAATGTAAGATGGACCAATGGATTTTAATATAATGATATATGAATAGTTTGTGGGGATTGTTTCAGAGTCCCCATTACAGCTATTCATGATTTCAAAGAAACTGCTCACTGTCAGTTTCACTGTGGTACCAAGGAATCATGCCTCCAATGATCAGAACAGACCTTTAAAAATTGTTTCAACATTTTCTAGCAAATCTGTGTGAGGTTCTTCATACATATGGAGCAAAATACATCATGACATCTTGAATGCAGATGTTAATATGTGAGAACCCTGCTCTTATATTAAGTAAGACAACAGACTTTGTAAAAGCAAAATGGAAAACTTCTTCACTGAAGTCCTTCATTTGGGGAAGTACAGTTATTTCTCATTAACTTGTGTTCATTCTAATATGCAATAATGTTTTCAAATGAATTAAAATATTAGTTTCTGTTTATAATTTAGTTTAGCTACAACTCATGCAAACCAAAGTTGATTGGCATCTTGGTACTTTGTTTCCTCTTTTGAAACACATGCTCTCTAACATCACCTGGCTTTGATCTTAGAATCTCCTCTCTCAGCCCACCCAGTGCTGAGATTACTGGCATGTGTTTTCTAGATATCCTTGGTACTTGTTAAGAGTCAAAGATATGTTGAGACATAGAATTGATAATTGCTGGTGTGTCCTATCCTGCATACCTTTGTATACTATTGGAGAAAGAGTATATTATATCATATTTTATATTAGCCTTACCGAGTATTCAAATAAGAAAAATGACTGTCACCTAGATTAATTTTTCAGACTGAAGAAAAGAGTAATGTCTATGAAATGTATGTTGTCTTTATTTTGGTATGCAGACATTCTGTTGCAGCAATGTTGAAAGTCGTTTGTGTTAATCATTGCCAGTGAAGAGACTGAGGACCAAATTGTAAAGTAAATTATGACAAAGCTACATGTAAGTCCTTAGGGTGGACACTGGACCTAGCTGTGTCATGTGGATTGGAGTTTCCCTGTCAGCCCTGATACAAACAATACTGTGACCTCAGGTGAGTCACAGACTCCCTGTGCCTCAATTCCTTCATTTTAAAGCAACTTGAACTCAAGGCTCTATAAAGTCTGCCAGTGAAGTTACTGAGGTTTTCTTTGAAGGATCAAAATAGTGCTCATCTGATCTCAAATAGCTTCTTTTACTCACATGCCCCTCTCAATATATTATTGTCTGGATAGAAAAATGTCTTTGCCTCTCACCATTTTAAAGTAAATATGAGGAGGGGCAAGCTCTCTTTCTACTTAAAAATCTGAATGAGTTTTGGTTTTTCCTCTTTTGAAAAGCAAATCTTTCCTTGTTATAAAATCTGACACCTACTATGAATTCCTAGTTCTTTGTATTTGCACTATTCCTCAGGCAAACAGGCTGTTCTGTTGACATAACACTGGCTGTTTATGGCGATAACCACAGTCACTTTTGTGGCTTCATAACACAGTGCTAACATTGACTTAGACTTCGAATATAAAGTTCACTCTTTCAGAGGGCAATATTCTGGCAGGTTTCAATAGGAATTTATAATAATTTACACTGTTTTTTCCATGACAAAAGAGACAGATTTAGTTAATAACGATTATTTTTATTTTTCAATTATCCTTGACTTTTCATTTGTTTGCTTGTTTGTGAAATTCGCTTTCTGTGATAAACTAGAAGTTTCAGAATTCAAGGAGTTGGTGACCAGGTTTGTCCTATGAGTAAACTTTCCAGATAAACTGTGGACATGTAAATGTCTTCATGTGCTACAAACTACAAAAGGATAGTGGGCTTTGTGGGAGTGTGTTTATATGTGAATATTGGTGCCTACTATAAAAAAAATCCATTACAGCTTTGGTTAGGACATTTGGGAAAGAAAACATGTAACATTCTCTCTTTATTATTTGTCACATAATATTTTGACTTTGGACTGACTAATGGTTTAGATTACATTAATGTATTTAGATTTTCTCCAGGTGAATCTTTTAAATAATGTTATTGAAATGATTTTACAATGAGACCTGCCTCTCCTGATGATTCAGTTACTTTACTTATGCTATT